GTGAGGTTCAAAAACAACAAATTTCGACAGGCATGCGTGGCGGCGGCGCTAGCGCTCCGGTCGCGACCTGCATCCTCAATGAGACACGTGTGTTTTGTGATTATAGCCAGGGTGCACTGGCCGGGCCACCATAGTTTACGTGTACCCGGTTGCTTTTACTTATGTCTTGTTAGCCAAGGAAAACCAAATAAACCGTTTTGAGGTCTTCTGTTACATTTTATACGGTAACAGAAAACATTTATTTAATTCAGAACATAAGCTAGTAGTTCTTATACCGTCATTTATTAAGTACCAACTTCGATCTAAGTATAGCAGTGTCTCAGCGTTGTCAATCTAACTCATCACTTCATCGTACTCGATGATTTGATGCAACTAAGCTGCAGACATATGCACTTAGTATGTACCTCACTGTGTCGTCCGTTTTGTCCACCATGCGCGATTATATATAAGCAATCAAGATGACCTCACGCCAAGCAAAGATGTTACACTATTAGTACGTTTATTTTTTTAGGAGTCAGTTATACATTCGGCGGATGAGATAGTAGCGTTGCGGTTCCACGAGCAAATCGTTTACATACTCGTACATTCATTCACTAATTAGCTACGGCACCGTCATGCATTAAGTTATACGCCGCTTCCGGCGCAGGCGCACGACCCTTCGCACTGTTTAGATAACTTGTTCATGTTAAAATAGTATTAGAAACGTATCCGTCAGTGACGACACAGGGAGAGCGTCCTTTTGTGACTGTTTATTTATTCCGCTCCCCTTACTAAAATATTACCAAGAACATGTGCGTCCAAGGCATCATTAAACTTACACGTGCGCAGGAATGTGTTCCGTCAGATTGTCAAATCAACTTGAGCTATCTCAGCGACATGATAATAAAATCCCTATGAGATTTAGTGGACTACTGTTTTCCCGCCCGCGCTTATTCCATAGTTTTGTTAAGTGTAATTACTAGGCGGTTAATTGCAATTATTTGACAGTGTGACAAAAGATTTTTGTGGTATAAACCGTAGCATAATCTTGGGCGCCCCAATGCGGCTCGCTCTAATGCGCATCATAGGGCCCAGGCGTGGGCGGACTCGAAGCATTGTTATATGAAGAAAGTTGGAGATAACGCCTTAAACATGAATAATAAATGTTGCGCCATTAATGCCTTTTTAAATAACGAAAGTTCTGTGCCATTTACATTTTCTTAATGATTTGTGTTGCGACACCCGCCACCTATCAATGCATAGCCTGATGCTCAACACTCTTTGAACTTATGCACATTGCCATATCTGTAGTGTCTCTAGGTAACATTTATAGATACATCACAGAAACTTGACCTGCGATATATGTACGTCTAAACAAAGTATACAGTTTGTGTGACTGTTTAAACAGCACTCATATTGTATCAATTGATTAGCGTTTCTAGAACACCATTAGAGCAGACGACGATTAGAGGACGGTGCGTGCGAAACTAACGCATTTATTAAGATAACTTTAATGCCCCACAGTGCGTGTAAAATGTAACTAAAGCCAGAACGAGAGCGACATTTCGTTTAAGTAATTGTAGTCATTTATATGCATGAAATGAAATATGTTGTCGGCTAGCATGTGATGAGCCATGGAGATCCAACCATTCCGATGATATTATTTCTACTAATTTCTCTTCAACGCTCGCGCTGTGTGCGTGCAGAGTGTGCTCCGTGACGACGCTTCAACACGTGCTGAATAAAACTATATCAATACCTCGCGTGTCAGTGATCTACGGCGCTGGGAAATTGTATCACTTATCTATCACGATAACACTGGAATCGATACCATCGTTCCTGCCAAAGAAACGTTCACGTATTGTCACGCTTGTCATTGAATGTATGAGTGAGACCTTTTAACACTTTAATAAATAGTGAATATAAATTCTAAATGAGGCACGATCGTCTTCCAAATTAGGTAGGTAACATGTAAAGAATAGACTTTACATATTTTACATATCAGAGATAGACCTATGAATTATCCGCCAATAGTCAGCCTGCATGGACTATCATAAATAACTACAGAAAATGGACAGAGAACTAGATAACATACACGAAAGAAAAATCGCTCCAAGAGTTAAGTAACTCAAAATCATTGTTTACTCCTCAAACCCTGGTCTTTTAGACAGAATCGAAACTTAAAACCTTCTTCAAGCAAGACCTGGACTGCGTAATATTTAGCGCTCAGCTTCATCTCATCCATACTTACTAACATTATAAATCCGAAAGTGAGTCTGTCTATCTGTCTGTTACCTACCTGTTACATATATCTTCAGGCTTAAACCGCTGAACCGATTTAGATGCAATTTGCTATGGAGATAGTTTGAGTCCCGGGACAGGACATAGGATAGTTTTTATCTCAGAAATCATCCTTTAAAGGGGTGAAACGGGAATGTCAGTTTGTATGAGGAATCAATAGCCACTGAACTGATGTAGATAAAATTTGGTACGGAGAGAGTTTGATTCTTGAGGAAGGACATAGGCTATTTTTTTATCACGATAACCAACATACACGCGGGCGCAGCCGCGGGCAAAAGCTAGTTGTAAATTTTAATGAAAATGAATGAAATGTACGAGAATTACTTCACTAGCATAACGATCAATTGACCTGGTGGTTACATTGGTCAACAAACCAACTATGAACAATAGTGTCCATATGCATTGTATTCTTAGCGCCACCGGTTCACTAAGTGGAAGTGCGGAAGTGCAGCAATTACGAGCGGCGATTAAGCATACGTAATTATTGTGTAGGTACATGTACAGGTAGGTGTATCGAGGCGGCAGTTACGCGCACCAACGGACCCATAGTCCAGAGGATATCAGGCTTTACACTGCGCATAATAAGTGGAACCAATGGCTCACCTGCTATTTGTCGCCGTCCCCTGTCATATGTATAGGGTAGGTATATTTATATTTTTAGGAATGGTAATCAAATCAGTAACTTCGTTCATTTATATATGTTTGTTTAGGTTTGATAGAAATAATTTAGGTAATCTTCGGTCAATGACCTGAATGAATTATAAACCGTAAACTATATTTGGTGGTGTTCAATAGACTAGAACTGTTACAGCTGCCATTAGAAGCTAGAAGTAACTCTCACGGGAATTAGCGCGTTAGTAGATATTTTACAGGCTCGCAACAACGGGCTACAGTTATCGTTGGGTCGCGAGAAGTTAGTCACTCAATGAAATTAGTTTGGTGACATCAGCGGGTGTAATTGTGTAAGACAAGGCGAGAGTACACTGGGGCAGACTAAACAAAACCGCAAGTTCACGAGATACTACTTATCTACCATGTCTTATAACCACTATTACATTTATTTTAGAACCATAAAGTATCACACTATCAAACCCATAAATAAACATGAATCAGAGTGACTACTGTGCCAGCGAGTGCTAGTACTAATCAAATCTAGTCGGGGGGATCAAACTCGGGTCCTTTGGGATTGTGAAATCGATCCCCCAGAAAAGTGTGTGATGAGCACGATCTTTGTCTGGGTGTCATTTATATCCATACTAATATTATAAATAAATATAAATATAGTAGGCAAAATGTGAGCATTTTAATACACCTCATAGTACATATTTGACTTGGCAAACATTACTAACGTGACGTGACATTATGGCCATAAGAAGCAATTGTACATGGTCACATTATTATCTCACACTGAAGAAGATGACATTGAGGGAATAGACTTATAATAACAGCTCAATGAAAATGTATTTAAAAGGTTCTCGGAGGCTGTACAGATTCTAAAACAATTAATTAAAGAGTTATAGAAAATTAAATGGAATAAAGAGGGGCATTAAAATTTCAATAACTTGATTGGTAACGATTTTTTATGATGTAGAAGCCTGATACTGCCCATGGACACCTTCACCTCAGCAGCAAGTTGCAGGCCTTTGCATTTTTTTTTTTTATAAAGGCTACTCCCACATTACGAATACATCATGTGCCACGGGGGACTTTACAAACATACATGTAAAGGACACAAATTACACCCAGACTCAGAAAAACAATTTGTTCATCACACAAAATGAAGTCCATGTGAGTTTCGAACCCACAACACCCTGCGCAGTAGGGAGCGGTGAGGTGACCGCCTAAACCTATGCTATCCGTGCAGTCAGTTGCATTACAAATACTCTTTATTCTTGAAGGTCATATTGTTCCAGAAACAATACAGGTGATGATTTTTTCAGCAGATTGGTTATGCAAGGCAATTTTGCAATTGTTAATAATAAAAAGAAACATTTTTTTTTAATGGTAATTAAATATTTTTTAAATCATTTGTGTGTCTGTTATTTATAGTAGTAGTAGTAGTATGCAATTGAAATATTGTGTGAAGTAAGAGCACAAAAAACGGGTGCATATAAAGAAGAACATGATCTGCTGAAAGGTGAGCTTACCAATGGCTCACAGTGGGCAGCTTTCTTCAGCACAATTGATGCATGACAGATGTGCACACGGAGCAAAACACAGGAATGCTTGAAAGTGATGACAACAATGTTCCTTGATGATGTGATGTGTGCCTTATTATGTAATCACTTCTATGCCTACTTTATCCATTGGATTGGCTTTTGATTTTTATGCAATTTTTTTTTTCTTAATAAATAAAAAATTTGGGATCAATGTTTTAAGACACTTGTATATTTTGTATGTATTGTATATTTAGTATATTCTACTTAGTTTATGTGGCAGGGAGAAGAGGAGGAATATTGCAAACATGCTAAAAATGTTTACTAACAGATTTTTAGCATGTTTGCAATATTCATAAGTTTCTTTGATGAGTGATTTAAATACATACATAGTTATATATAAATAGTATCACTAGATTTGAGCACCAGCATTTAAGGTTAATAAGGGTTATCAAAAATATAAATTATTGTTATAAGCTATGATAAAAAATATTCTCTAAAATTGGAATTATATATTAAGATCTTGAAGGTGCCCTAGTTTTTCTATATTTACGTAAAGTGGAGATGATCTATCAAGAACAGATAATCTCACGCCTTGCCAGAGAGAGTTCCAAGTATGCTATTCGGCTGCGAGCTGTTTACAGAGCTACATACTTTGATAAGATAATGCGCATAGTTAAGGCTGCGGCAGGTGCGGGCGACGCCGGCGTGCGCCACACTGCGCCGGCGGCGCTTGCATCATACCAGATTATTACACCTTCTTATTTGACTATTCAAGGTCTTGCTGCGCTAACTTGGCTCGCGGGAAAAGACTCGAAGCGCGCTGAGGTCGACACACTTACCTACGAAACTTGGCTCCATTTTCTCCGAGCCTTATCCGTCTTCTGCGGTCCCTTTTCAATCCAGTTTGTGTGATGGTAATGATAAAAAGTTTTTCTGAGACATGACAACACTTACACACACACCGCCACTCCCGACTTAAACTTTTTCGAAACTTTTCAAAACAAAAGTAATAGAATTTGGCGAAACGCGCCCACTGAAATATTGGCTTTAATGTCGCACACTCATAATTCACTATAGCGCACAAGAAGTTTGAACTAAAGTAACAACGCTAAAAAGCATGAAAACCGACACAAACGGGCACGGCAAAGTTAGTACCTATCCGAAACTACGAAAATGACAGCCAAGTTGACCGAGATGACAAGCGGGAGGGATGGTCACTCACACATAGAACACCGCCCAAGTAACATTATGCGTACAGATAGCATTTCACTCTAGTGTGAATTCCAATATGCGTGGTGTGACCAACATACAATTTAGATTTCGAAATGTATCATACTACTTAAATAAAACTTAACCTCAGTTCGTTACCCTAGGCCAAACGCTAGAAAGTATTCTCAAATGCTATATAATTACTGTAATTTGAATCGAGCGTAATAGTTAATAATTTGCTTTTGTTCCATTACAATTGGTGCAGCGCCATCTATGCAGTCGTATGGCAATCTTGACTGAACGTACCTGTAAAGATGGCGCTGTAACTATTTTATATATTTTCTCACATTTCTTTAAGATACCCAATTTTTTAAAGACATTAATATCCAGTAAACCTGTATAACATTTGTTTTCTTTACCTAAATCCATCATCGCGAGACTTGTAGTCTTTTATAGTATGATTATTATACTGAAATATGTTCCACATGGCCGTGAGACTCATTTCAATAAAGTATTATTGAACTAAGAGAAATAGTAAAATAAAGTGAAATTTTTGTTCAAAAGCCGTGACGACGTGTACCTAGCTACTTATTCAATGGAACTGCTCATTATCAAAGTTTTATAGGCTAATGGAACCTCTAAGTTATAAGATATTTTATACCTAATGTCGTAACCTTGGACCAAGAATGTAAGGTTCTCTCTTCATGGCACACTATAGCGACTTGAGCAATAATATATTTTTTGATAAAAATACCAAACGCGAATGTTGTTTCTAATGCTGATTAGGTATCTACCTACCTACAATTGCCACAGATTCACAAGACCGCGCCATAACGCCTGTAAACTTAACTGGAAACTAGCAAAAACTGTAACTCTTCACCGATTTTTTTACTTCTAGAAAAACAATATCTGTACCATATTAAGTGTGAAGCCAACATGCGGCTTCAATGTCTTTGGGTTTTTTTTGGAAATAGTAGATGGTTGGATACGGTCTGACAAAGAATACAAACCATCTACATCCCTGATTAAAAACGGACAACCCCGGAACCATGCCTCTCGGAGCTATAAGGAGGATAGTACCTGTAATCACCCAGATAAGAGATTCGCAAGTGGGAATGAGTCTTTCACACTTTTCCATTTTCCTTTAAACTTGGGAGAACCATAAGTACTTCGACCCGTATGAGTCGGCCATCAGCCGCGGCTAGTACAGAAAACCGGTCGGTATTAAGCACTTCTATCGTAGTTTTTGAACGAGTGAGTGATATAACCGGACGAAGACGACGATGGATCCGGGTGGCACACTTAAGTTTAAAACGCACTTGTGACTCTTGAGTTGTAGGTGTCTATGGGTGACGGTAATCACTTTCCACCAGGAGACGAGCCGAAAGTCGCTCGAGGTCTGCTCGCTTGCCTGATATACCATCAAAAAAAGTTGCCGGACTAGCGAAACTTTGTAAAGCAGGGATTCCCAAACTGTTTTTGGCCATAGAGCCCTTTTCCAAAATGAATGGAAACCTAGGACCCCCATAGTTAAATTATTTTAAAAATCTTATCTCTAGTTTTTTTTATTGTTGATATAAAATACTTACCAATTTAAAAATTTACCGTTGATTGAGTGAGTAAGCTTGACATCATTTTCTCATCAAAATTTAACAAAAAACGGCATGAAGGGTCTATGGACCCCCGGCAGGATATGGATATTTTGAAAGTTTCAAACAAGAACTTGTTTTAATAATAGGGGTCGATTTTTAGACCTCGTCGACCCCCAAAATCAGTTTTCGTTTATGTTGACCCCTGAGAAACCGATTACGACCCTAAGGGGTCGATACCTCCCCGCGAAGAATATTTATTATAGAGGAATCCCTGCTGTAAAGTGTTAGGTTCGCCAGTGATGTCGTAAAATTACGTTATATTTTATTATATTTCTGCCAGTTTGGTTCCAGTCCAAGTGAATACGAGGGGAAAGTCTGTTTATGGCACCCTCGAAATAATGGTAATAAATATAGCAAATTTTATACATTCACTTCATTAAATGATCAAAGTGCAAACGAATGATATGAGCATACGCATTATGACAAATAATCTGAAATTATGGGAACTAATGCGATATTCTGAAAAGTAAAGTTCATACAGTTCAAATCACCTACTTACTGACTAAGAACATTATTTTTTTTTTTATTATTCTGAAAATTAAATAATAATACATAGGTTACTTAATTCTAAACTCGCCAAACTTTTACGTTTGAAGGCGAGAAGCGCTCTCTCACATAACCATGATTCACCCCATATTCACTTAATATTAGTCACAATAGTACATAATATAGTAATATGCATATAAACACATGATCGCATTAATGAGTATGTATGAGGGAAAGGTACTGTTATTTTACTTATTTAAATTATACTTACATTTACTATCACTTAGATGCTTTTCATATGGTGTGTACTCATAAGCGGGCACATCGCCTACTTCCACAATCCATGTAACTTTGCCCTTGCGCCGTCCCAGAAGCGAGGGTGACCGAGACATCTTACGGCACGCACTGTGATTACATCACAACACTAGGCGTCTAGGCACAAGTTGAACGACTCGAACTCTTCCACTTTGGTCACACTGACACAATTCACACGCGAATTTTTATCGACACTTCTTAATTATTTAATCCAAACACTGTTGTTTGGTCCGATTCTTCTTCACTCGTAACATAAAATAAGTATTTTAATTTAACATGTTTATTACATAATATAAGCATCTGCACATTTTTTTTTATAATAGAAATTAGAAATCAAAAGTTTGTTTAGATTTTAAATCAATTATTTTAGCATTGTTCAGGTGAATATAGCTTTTATGACTTAGGAACAAAACACGAGTATTTATTCTGTAATTATATTATTATTCTGAAAATTAAACGCAATAACTATAAAGTATTAAAACGTTTACAACATGAACATAGCACTTGCAGTATGTTATGCAAAGACGTCGCAAAGTTTACTTTCACGGCACAGCTTTATTTGTGCATTGGTTTGCTATCTCAGTTATTTTTAGGCCTATGCAGTTCACCTTGAGAGTCGCTTTGAATCCTTAACCAGATTGGCGATGCACATTGAACTTACACACCCACTGCCCGACACTCCAATGTACTTATAGACACCCGATCTCGAGTCTCGAGCCCACGACCAAAATTGATAATTTTTCATTCATAGCTTACTTCAGCTACGCTGTAAAGTGTAAACCGTTAGTAAAAAAAGATTGTAGTATAATTTACGCATATACGTGTACGTTAGCATTATGCATACGTACATACAGCCTACTATATTGTATAGTGTGGAAGCAGTACTTGCATACAAGCGAAATAGTTGGAGCACCCGAATTTATACCTTTCCTTACTTCATATTGCCTTATACCCTATAGGTTGTGGCATATTTAACACATAATAGGTACGTTGTTTATATTTATTTAATATTGCTATGTATATTTATTACCTTGATGCAAACTAGTCAATAGTCCTGATATGACAGCGATCGGGGGTAGGCCCAGAAAAGGTGTTTTTTTTTTAACTACGGAATATGGAGCAGAATCATAGGCGAACTGTCATCCTGGATAGTTGCTCCAAGTGACTGAGAGAATTGTTATTCTCTAGATTTCTAGAAACCAGATCCGAATCATCACCAACTAACCGAGTGGCTAACCAGCACCTCATGCTGTCTGAATAGTCACCGTGAGAAGACATCGTATGTACCATCACGTTCAGTCGGATATCTCTGGATGAGTCGCACCTCAGCAGCACTAACAATTGAAAGGACGGCGCTAGACGATGCTGGATTAAAAGTAGTATAACCACAGACAAGATAACTACAGCGTAAGCGGAACTCTCCAAGAATGTTATGTTAGGTACCTAGTTATCCTCTTTCAAACTATGTATATAGTAAGTACCGTTAGATAACATCCTGACAACAAACAAAGGAACAACGTAAAGATTCGGAAGTGAGTAAATGGAGTGATAAGATAAGAACATCTCACGGGGTCAACTGCAGCCGTGGTTATCGTGTGTTATACACCATCGAATGTCACATGTGCACTTGGTCTAGTTCGTAACGTACCTACACCCCGATAACAACAACATAATACTCAACACGACATGTAACAAGCATTCATAAACTACGCTACGTACTTTTATCGCATTGTTTTTTTTTTGTTTGTCATTTTAAGTCTGAGGCAAATCCCAAGAAACAACATGAAGGCTTTAAAGTTCCATCCTTAAAGTTTCTTTGTTTTCAATAATTTAGGTAGTTTATACAATGCATAACTTTTTACAGGATAGTCCGAATACGATTATTCTTTTTTAGATACATATAATGTGAAAACTCAAGCCCTTTGCTATCTATATGAGAATGTATGTAGGGACGCCCGGTCGACTGTCCAAGTACAAGACCAGCACAAGACCAATTCAATTTCATCGTGGGCTTAGATAAGAAGATGGTATTTTTCCGAAACTGTTTACCATTACGTTTGAAGACGTCTTCAAGGCGCTCGATTGGAACGAACGGGGAATCAATATCAATTACCAATATCGCATTATGTATAAATTGCAAGTATGATACTTGCGATTTGCAGACGACATAGTGATCCTGGCGGCATCTCTGCATAATCTGGACGATTTTTCTAGACGAGTGGGACTTAAGATGAAAATTGGTGAGACCAA